CTTTTGATACTTAAAAACTTTTCGTTGTTAGAGTTGTTTGCAGCTACAGAGAAATTGTGTCTACTATAAAGAGGTTATGGCATTGCGTTTGTGTGCGAACTGTGATCACCGGCCTTGACGAGTTGTCATTATCCGTCGGAAATGTGTAAAATGCAAAAATGAATGTTGGGCCCGGTTTCTAACATTGACATCTTTTTCAATATTAGAATCTTTACTCAGTAATTTGCTTCTTATATCATTGTTGGGCTGTATTAAATGGGTAAATTAATATATTTGTTCCTTCTATGTGAGAATATGCAAATGGACACAAAATACTTCCCCTTTACAAAGATCCCCCTAATGTAGGTATAATGTTTGTTGAATAGTTTGTCACACTGTTGTGTGTTAGTTACATTTGCTCCAAGAACAGCATCATTGAAGAGATGGATTTTCCTGACTGTGAAGAGGGTTTGGACACGATATATTCAGGTGATTCGGGCGTGTTGAGAGAACTGGAGGGTTTGGTGGTAGTACTGCAATTTGTTACTGTGTGAAAGGAATATCTGTCATATTAACAAATTTGTGTGTTCTTTCAGGTGAATGCTCACTTGTGGATAGGGGCACATGCCCCAAGTCAAGGTGCAGTTTGGACTTCTTGAGTCCTAAAGCACCACCACCCATGGGCGCAGCAGTGCGGGTGATGGCTGATGTGGAGTCGCAATTACCAGAAGTAAGGAACCATTTTAGTAGGTGTGTGTCAGGTTCTGGAAAGCAGTGGGAGTGGTCCCAGGTGGCCCCAAAACTCTGTCCACTACCAGTGATTGTCTCATGGACTTGATTGTTTGCATCTTACCAATTTGAACAGGATGTGCCGTGGGAAATTTGTGTAGGAGGGTCTATTTTGAAGACACATTTATTGTTGCATTCAAAGTATTTATGTATGTTTCATTTTTTTGCACAGTCAGAACCAAACGTTGCAAAAGTGTGCGTGTTAGCTTTTCATATCGGTTGGCATTCTTATTCAGTGATCGAACCCTAATTTCTCTTTTGCTGGCTTCTGTTGAATGGTTTGTTTGTGAAGTCAAAGTTATCGTACAGAATTGTCAAACAGTGCAGAAGATGAACTGGCTGGTACGTAGTATGATTTGAATTGTGATTAAATAGTCGCTGGGAGCAAGGTTGAAACTGAGACTTGAAAATTCGATTTTACTGGGAATTTCTCTGGCGTGCTTCTAAATGACATGTATCCTGTTTCTGTTGTATTCAGTGAATTGGAACAGCCTCTAGGGGGCAAGCCTTTATATTCCGCTCTCTAGGATTTTTAAAGAGATAATTTGAAGTATGAGAAGGAAGAAGACCAAAGAAATGTTTTATGTGTTCCCTGATCTTTATAGAAACTTCCTTTAAAAATTAATCAAGGCTAATAAATTCTTCTCGGGCTACCAGCCATGTCTGGTGGCTGAAAGGTGAAAAAACCAACGTTTCGATAATCATCCTCAGGGTAGTGAAGTTCCCTTCAGTCCGAGAGAAATGTATTTTACATAGTCACTATGAAAGCTGCAAATAATACATTAAATGACCCCGTCTGCCCTCTGGATAAAGATTCCCTCCGAATATGTTGAAGTCGGTGATAATGCCATTGAAGTTCTGCGAACATTCCCACCAACTTACCCCTGGGAAACAGGAATTCGGTGTCGACTTCTCAAGAGAAAAACCACTGAAAGGAACCGGATGTTTCTGCGTCACTTCGTGTCCGTTTAATCAAAATTAAGCCTTGCCTGAATAAACTTTTTTTTCAAGAAAACAAACTCAGAGGTCGCAGTAGGTAAGCTAATTAAGATCTTTGCATTTATTCCATTCCACAGAAGGGCAGCTCGTTGAAAATAAACATATTTTGGCGTGCTACTAATAATTTTATTTTCTGAACATTAATTGTATTATACAATATGAATTACAGAGGGTTGTGGTCATCACAAACCACCACCCATCTCTTCTGACACGTAAATAAGGGAAGGTTGGATGTTGCACCATGAAGTCTGGTATGAGTTCACTGATGTTCATAGACGCCTACTGTCTCCATCATCAGGGTGATAAATGGTTAAGATATGGGAACAGGGCTGACACTGCACAGGTCAAGCTTGGGTTTACTGGTGGCCTTCAGAATTCCATCTTTCCCCTGTTTGACCTCCTCAGCTGCTGCTGCTTCTGGCAGAGAGCTAACAGCCTTCTCCACACCAATGAGCAAAAGAAGTGGCTGGGAGGTCCAGCAGAGAAGATGACAATCAGTTCTCTGCCAGACCTCCCCAGCCACTTCTTCCGAGACAAAACGGCCAGCCTTGTGCTCTGCTGGAAGAAGCGCCTTTTGCCGTCCGACAAGAAACAGACAGATGAAGGCTCCAGTGCACTCAGCAGCATCCAGCCAGTTTGCTGGACAGCTGGGAAATTCTCCATACCATGGAAGAACTCGAAAGAGTTCATCCATACCATCAAGTCCCTCCCTGCTCGAGGGTAGCCGTGACCTGCTCAACCTGTTTCCACACCTGAACCCCATTTTTCATCCACAGCTTACTCATCGCCCTGATGATGGAGGCAGTAAGCTCCATTGAGATGACAGCGTAAACGTCTACTCAACTACACAGCAGAACATTCTATAAATTCTGTCATGGTCTTGGAACAAATTTACTTCTACCATTTGGTGTTGTCTGTTTCACTGTCTGAAGACTCTTTGGAAACTTTCTTCTTCTTCCTTCCCCAAAATTTCAACTTACTTATCCATCGTCTCTTCTTTTCTTTACCAGTTGAAGATAAATCTGAGCTTTTATCCTCTCCTCTTCGATTGACTTCTTTCTCTTCTGTTGAAGACTTCTTGGAATCTTTCTTCTTCCTTCCCCATGTTTTCCACTTACTTTTTCTCTTCTTCTGTTCACCCTCTTCTGTTTCAATGTTCATCTTTTCCTTGAAAATGAATAAGACTTCTGTAAGCATTTTGTATATTTTGAATTTTACCTCAACTCATGCATTGGAGCGTAGTAAAATGAATTAATGCCAGCAGCACTGAATATACTAAAACTCTGTTCAAAGAAAGTGTTAAATTGTCCAATCTCACAACGTCGCGTCGCTTAAGGCTTCTTAGCCCCACGGACAACTTCACATCTCTTCTACCCTTTACATGCTGCTTTTACAAGATGTGGTAATTTTACATCACTTAATGCAATAAATGTTGCCTGCTGCATTCAGCGCTTTAAAACTTTATTTACAAAGAGAGTTTAAATTGCCAGTCTCGTAATATCATGTGGTGTAAGGGTTATGACTCGACTGTGGTGATCATTCGGGAATTTCAGTGCACTTGATGAAATAAACCAAGGCTTTAAAGCTGACTTGCCTGCACGCCAAGCACCTGGGCCCACCACCAAAAAGAAGTACTTATCGTAAAGCAGTGTGGCCAAACTGACAAATTTTATTCTGTTCATAGAATCTGGTAATTTTGCCTGTGGCCGTGAACTTTGACCTCTTACTTGGTGAGACGAGGACGTATTGCGAGTGTCAGGAACAAGGAGTCTTGTAAAATACCTGACCTTTGTGGGTTTAAGTTCATTTTGGAATAGAACGTGTAACAAAGTAAGGAACTTCACAATTCATGAGGGTCATCCATCTTCAGTGTAGATCAATTCAGCGTGAGGGATGCAGAGAGAAGTGAAGAAGAAAAGTGTTTTGCAGATTAATCAAGTGACTGACAACAAATATCAAGAGAATAGAGAAATCTCGCTCTCGAGATGCAGAGAGACGTCGTCAGTTCGTGTATTCGGACTGAAGGCAGGGGGAGCTGAGTCTACGTGGAATGCAGAAGAAGCGGAGAGGAGGAATGAAAGAAGAGACTGTGATCAATTTTATTACGGAGTAACTTTGAGTGAACACTTGAAATGTGCAGGTAATAATTTGTGAAATTCACTTCTTCTTCCTGTTATGGCTTACCTTTTCCTTAAGAAGATCTATGCTGTCCGTCTCTTTCTCTTCATTTAGGTCATTTTGGAATTTGCTGCGCACACAGAAAAAACAAGAATCAGTGTCTAGTGGCTGGCTCTCATAACAGATTATTGCTTTTGCGAATACAGTCGTGATACTTTTCAATGCACGATAACACGTAATTTATTGACCTTGTGAGTTTTGACTTTTCAACGAAAACTGTGCCATGGAATTGGTTTGGAGAAAGATAATTAAGATTTGAATAATATCGTGTAGAAGGAGAAAAGGATTACAAAGGAAATGGATTGAATGCAAGACAAACCTCGATTGAGCTTCATCATCTTCCTCCTTCGATTCCGTACTTTCTTCGTCTGCAGCCTTGGTCTTCTCTGACTGCGGTTTCTCTCTGTCCTCATGCCTAAGGACGTGATCACCTGCAACATTGTTGCATGCATAAGAATATTTTTAAGAACGCAGTCAATGAACGTAAGACGAAGGCGTGGAACAGAGAAAAACTTTTAGTTTATTTGCATTCTGTTTAATGGCCCTGCCAGTAATGCAGACCGCACAGCATCAAATGGTAGGATGGACAATGGACTGAGGAGGATATGGATGCAAGCGACTGTGGACTGACTTAAGGCACTCTACTGGCATTCGAATGAAAAGAATTTGGGAAGGAAAGAAAGCAAAACAGAGAACCACAAAGAAACATCTGACCTCTTGTCGTGCTTGGTCTGCAGGAAGCTTGCGGCTAAGAACTCGGGAGCCTGAATTGGTGGCTTGGTGACTGGCTTTCTGACTAATAGACACAGTGACTCACCACTTCATTGGCTACCTCACTGACGCACAGTCACTCCCCAGGCTAAGTGGCTGATTTTATAACTCTTTAAAGGACTGACTTCGTAACTCATAAAGTGGCCGGTTCAAACCTCGACTCAGTCATGACTGCTTCTCTATGTAAGTGATTACTGCAGATGGCAGCAGAAGGAACATTGAAGGAACGGGGAAGTCATTCAAGAATGAAAATACTGTATCAGACATAATATAAATTCTCTGGAAAATGCCATGAATACTTTAGCTTACCATTGACTGAGTTGACTTCATCTTCTACGTCGTCATTTTCTTGCATGGGGTAGAATTCAGCTATTCTAATATTTTCTACTCCTCCTAAATCTTTGCCCGTCAATTTCAAAATCCTTTCATGAAGTTTAGTTAGGCTTTCGTGCAGTTTTATGAGTTTGTCCTGAAATAAAACCATGCACAATGATTCGCTTTTTAGCTCCATTTTGCAATCGAATTCTTTGCTGTGTTACGTCCGTCTAATGGTTTTGGTGGTCATTTACTGGAGGTACTGGCACTCTGTTGATTAGACAAATCTGCTTCGTGTGTTGCAGATGTTGATGAGACTGATATATATATATATATTTCACATCATCCACTAGTTTTCTCTGTGATTAGCTATTTTATGGGACAGGGATGATGTCTGATTTAAGGTTGATGTAAAATATGGGTCCATGTTACGTGTGTCCGTCACCAAGGCATGGTTGCAGATAGAGTAACAGCATCCAGTTATGGCAGTTAGCTGCGAATATATTGAATAAGCAGTCGCGGACAACCGATAAGGGGTGGTCCTCCAGCTTAGGGGTTGAGCGAGGGCTAACAACCCTTCACCATAAAAGTGTTATGTTATGAACACAATACTAAAGCCTTGGATTAATTCTAGGAGGCTCTGATGAGCTGAACATGTAGCTCGCATGTAGGAGTCAAGGATATTGCATACAGGATATTGGTAGGGAATCTTAGTGGAAAACGACCACTGGTTAGACCAAGATGGAGATGTGAGGATAACATAAAGACAGATGTTGAGGGAGGTGGGCTGTGAGGATGGCAAATGAATCAAGTTGTATCAGGATCATGGCCAGTGGCGGGCTCTGGTGTTGTCGGTGTTGAACCTACAGATCCTGCTACCAGGGAATTAATTAGTAGTTAGTAAAATAGGGGTTAATTAGACCAGTACAGCACATAATAGTTTACCGAACAACTTTTAGGCTAGTTTAAAGGCTTCTGACAATTGTCTGTTACCCTCGGGATAACTAAATTCTTGGACTTTGCCCATCGTCTGGTATTCAAAAGAACAGAGTTTTTCAGAAACTGGATCTGTTTCTGTTCCCAGGTAAAAAGGAAACGGGGGCCTACTCAGTGGCTCAGTTAGAAAGAGCGAACCTGAGTCACTGGACTGACTGGAATACCAGATGATGGACAAAGTCCAAGAATTTAGTAATCCTCAACTTTTTCGCTAGTTACACGTGGACCAATGGGTTGGACATCTGTATGTCAACACCGAGGCAGTCCACCGTGTTAAATAGTTTGGCCCAAAAGCTTTTACTGCATTCCCTCACCCATTTTTCCTCAATTTCTAAGTTTCGTAAACAAAATGTTGATACTTCCAGACATGAAACTTGCAGACGGAATGTGGACACGCTGAGTAACCGTGGTTGTCATTCCGTGCTTTTCGTACAAAGAATGCGTAATATGAAATATAAGCGTTGACTTTCAGATTCTCACCTGTTTTTTAAGAAGCTGGGTTTGCATTGATTTGAATTGCAGCTTTTTGGTTGTGAGCACTGCTTCCAAGTTATCGTGCTCACTGTCATCCTCATTCAGTGAAGGGTGGATTTTTGTGCTAGGTCTAGTAGCAGAAGAAGCCATCCTGCAACTTCTCTGACTGTAAGGTGACAAATAACGTGCACCTTGTGTTCCCGACTTTGTCGAGTTCCTCTTTGAACCGTTTGTTTTAAAATTCAGACTACTACCACTGTTTTCCTGAAAGAATAGGATTATAGGTTATAGGAGAACCTCATTGCCCGATAACCAAAAGGACCACTTATCTTTTCTCTTTGAATCAGCGAGTGACCACTTCCAGAGAAGTAAACGTGTACAAACCCCAAAAGATTTACCTGTTTATGAACAACATAAGTTAGAAATTCGTACTACACATGTACACTGCGGTTACCGAGAAATGTGTTCCTTCCAGATAACTTGAAGGAACTGGAGTACAAACTACACTTGTGTGAGCTTAAAATAAAACTAATGCAGTCTCTGTCATTCCTAATGTATTGTTAGTCAAACAGTTTCTGTTTATCGTAGTTTTCTCCATGGGAATGGAGACTTATCCCGTAAGGACAGCTTCTGTTCATTGCAGTTTCCGCTAGAGACAGATTTAATGGTATTTTGACTAGAGGCTTATTGCACTGAAGTGTAATATGAGAGTCTGCCTAGGTTATTGGTCGGTTCTCATGTTACTGTATCAGGTACATGCATTGAGAGGGAAGGAAACAAATGTCCTGAAAATAATCGACATGTAGGTATCAGTAGGAGAGGTTAAGGTCCAAAGCCGTGCTCTTGTGAACATGGTAATGGACCTTCAGGTACTTGATCAGCTGATCGCCTGTCGTCCTTTTAAGCTTGACTCCAGGCTTGGAGGTTAATTGAGTAAAGACTTACTCTGTACATTCTTGAATCTTCAATATTGCCGTTCACTCCGTTGTTACTCTTTGGTTCATACCTCGGAGGGGGCTCACGGCCTATGGAAGAACCCAAAATGCATTGCAGATCGCATTGTTTTAAACTTAAAACTGCACATATATTATGTGGGAGACATATTTAAAAATGAGTAATACAGGCTTTGTATGGAAGCGGAAAATTACCTCTTTGAGGGGGGGAACACAAATCGGGAATCAAAATACCAGGGAAATTTTGTGAGGGCGAGAGGTGAGTGAAACTGACAAAAACATGGCCAACCTTATCACAGTATTGTCGTATTTTATCGATTTCAAAGACACCATCGATTGTAAGACGCATCGTTCATTTAGTTGTGGGTTTTGAGGGGAAAAAATACCTTATGTTGATTCCTTGACGATTTAAGTTGAAGACGAACCCCGATTTCAGATGTTTTAAAATGCGAAAAAGTGTCTTAAAACCGAGGAAATGCGGTAAATAGTGGGAAACAAGGAGGAGGAAGCGTCCCTTAAAATTGATGTAAAATAGGCCACGCCCAATTCCTTCTTACATTTCTTCCACTTCCCCAATCAATCTTACTGTCAACTGTCTAAAGTTGTTATTTTTTGTAGTTACATGCATGAGCTGGCTAAAGGAACAGATTTTCACGAGAATTCAGTCAATACTCAAAAACTGTATTCAAAACTTCGTATTGAAACTTTGAAACATATTCCTGCATCACAATTAAGAGAACAAGCTGTAATTTCGTTTTTCGAATCTGTGTGTGTGTTACAAGCCTCGGCATATTAAGGGGCTTTCGTGTGGTATGAAATTCCTCACTGAAATCTTTTCGATATTAAAACAAATTAGCGGTTGAATGAAGTGCGGGAATAATCGATTAGGAATGAACAGATATGCGTTAATGTACTTACGAGCTTTCGACTTGTAGTTTGATATCCTCACACAGCTCTTTTCACACTCTGTTTACCTACTGATTCTCAACAACGAATGACTTATTAACACAATGTTTACCAATTGTTGCTAGGCAACATAAGATTTTGTA